CTGGTGTTTCTCCTTGTCCCTGCATTCCAGAGGTGACTGGGAGGTGGCAATGGAAAGCCAACCAGGGCTCTGCCTGTGCTTTGCTTTGGCATCTGCACCGGGGTTTTATTTGCATGTGCTTGGCTGGAAACTGCATCATCATCTGGTGAGTGTCAGCGATGCCACCCAGCCCTTCTGCCTGGGGCTGTCCCCTAGAAACTGGGGAGGATGAGCTGGGGACTGGGCTGGATGGGGCTCTGAGTATCCTGGTTAGTGGAAAATCCCTGCCCACAGCAGGGGGTTGAAGCTGGATGATCTTTAAGGTCCTTTCCAACCCAAACCATTCTGTGATTCTGTGAGTCTGTGAGTCTGTGAGTTGTGATTCTGTAATTCTGTGATTCAGTGATTCTGTGAGTCTGTGATTCAGTGATTCTGTGAGTCTGTGCTTCTGTGAGTCTGTGATTCTGTGATTCCATGATTTCATGATTCCGTGATTCTGTGATTCTCTGATTCTGTGAGTCTGTGAGTCTGCGAATCTGATTCCCTGTGTCTGTGATTCTGTGATTCTGTGATTCTGTGATTCTATGATTCTGAGTCTGTGATTCTGTGAGTCTGTGATTCTGCAATTCTGTGAGCTGTTGGCTCTGACCAGCCCCATCCATCATGAAATGGTGTCCATCAGCCTCACATCCCAGCTCCTGGTCAGCGTGGATGAAGGAGCCCAGCTGGGTGTGGCCACAGCATGAAGGATCCTGCTGAACCCATCACATGGATAAAGGGAATTTAATTACATCTGTAGGATTTCCATCAATGCTGAGCAGCAGCAGGCTGGGTCTCAGGGGAGATTTTTCATTGTGTTGAAATCTGACTTTGTTAATTACCAGTCTCTGATCTCATTTGGGGGTTGAGTTTATGAAACAGAATCCTTATTTCTCTGACTTCCTTATCCAGCTGGTTTATTGAGTCTTGTACAGGGGATGGTTTGGACCATAGAAACTCCCAAGGTTTCCTCCCAAGGAGGAAACTCCCACACTTCTGGCATGAGCTGTGCAGGAGAAGCATTGGAGCAAGGGGAGGTGATGGAGATGTGCAGAAGTCCTGGTAAAAGACACAGAAAGACAAACATCTCAGGAAAACTGGAAATGAGGACAAAGGTCTTGCTGCCAAATCATAGCTTATTTTACCCCCAAAGGGAACTCCCCCTTCCCACATGGGAAGCACCCAGAGCCCCAGCCCCAGGCAGCCAGGGAATGTTGTTGTGGGGGGCTTTAGCAGAGTGACACCAGCCTTTGGTGCACCCCAGGCTGTTCACTTCCTCGTGGGGAAAGCTTCCCATCCTCTGTTTACCCAGGAAGCACCAGATTTGGCTGTAGGCAGTCAATAGAGTGCCTGGTTTTTATCTACACATCAAATTTACTTTCTTTTTTAAAGAGAAAATAGCCACTGAACAGCCCTTGAAGCTTGGGGCTAGTGTCTAATTCCACTTGAAGAGCTTTGTTAGATAATTGCAGTATTTTTCTGAGAGAAAATAGAACAATCAAGGCTTGTAATTAAAAGCCATTCAGGCAGCTTTGATCCTTCTCTCTGCATCTTCACTTACCAAACACAAATGCCAACAAGGACTCATGGCAATATTTACAGTCACTATTTTTGGCCTTTGCCTTTAAATTAACTCCTCTTCCTCGCTTCCAGTCAGAAGGAGGAGGAGGGAGGGAAATGGGGCTTGTGGTTTTTCAACAGGTGTTTCTTTGGAAAGATTTTTTTTGAGGATGCCTATATCATGGAATCATAGAATAATTAAGTTTAGAGAAGCTCAACAAGTCCAACTATCAACTCAGCCACACCACCATGTGCACCACTAAACTAAATGAAATGTCATACACAGAGGTTTTTTGAACACTTCCAGGGATGGTGATTCCACCACTGTCCTGGAAGCTTTTTCCGGGGCTTGACCACCCTTTTGGTGAAAAAATATTTCCCAATATCTAATCAAACCTTCCCTGGCACAACTTGAGGCCGTTTCCTCTCATCCTGTCACTCCATGATGACAAACCTGGAGCTCCTCTGGAGGCCTCAGAGCTGCCATAGAACAAATTTATCACCCCAAAGCTGCCTCCAGGCACAACCTCAGCTGCAGTGGTGGTGTGGATGGGGCAAGACCCACACACTCTGCCCTGGCCATGGACAGGGAGCTGCCAGGGCCGTGTCCCACAGCCCACAGAGGATCCTCAGGTGAGCTGCTGGGAGAGGGAATCCAGCCTGGGAAGTCCCTTCCCTTCAGCAGCAGGTGGCAATGTCAAACCTTGATGTGCTGAGACCCTCTGAAGGCACCAAACTGGGCTTGTTTGTCCCAGAAATGGCAGTAAAGCCAGTGGGTCACCATTTCCTTGGGTTTATGGTGGGACCATCAGTGGCTCATCAGCACCCAGGGGCTCCCTGCAGTCCCAAGGAAACAAGGTGAGTGCTACAGATGTCAGGTTGTACAGGGAAGGGGCAAATTCTCTTTCTTGGCTTGATGTGAACACTACCTTCTGGATACCCTTCTGCTTCTCATCTTTTACAGTCCAAGTTTTTGCTTATCCACGTTTAATTTTTATTTTCATATTTTTCTCACATCAAGATGCTTCTGAGAGCCGGGCCTTCAACTCTCAGTGGGGTATTATTTCTTTTCTCACCCAAAAATCGTGACCAGCCTTAGGGAGGCGGTGTGAGACTGTGTAAGACCCAGGGGATTAGAGCTTCCCGGGAGAACAAGCTGCAGCACGGCTTGGATGAGGACAATTCATCCAAGCAGCCAACACTGCTGCAGCACGGAGACTTTAAAAGCAACAAATCTGCTTCCGATCTCCCTCCCTAGCTGAGATGCCTGCATGGAAAGCCTGTGGTGGGAATATGAGCCCTAATTCCTGAAAGTGGGAATATGAGCCCTAATTCCCGTTCCAGGGCAGGAAATGGCTCCCGGGGAGGATGGAGCAGAGCCCTCCAGGGCCGTGTCCTCACGGGTGTGACAGAAAGAAGGCGATGCCTCCCCGCAGCAGGAACCTGCAGCTGCAGTGGGCAGGAGCAGCAGAGGCTTCATCTCCTGCCGTGCCCAGGGAGCTGCGGGGCTGCCCCGCGCCTTTGCACCCATTAACACAGCACACCCTGTCCCACAAGGAATTCTCCTCGGCTTTGGGGCTGAGCTGACTCTGTGCATGGCTGGGAAGGGGTTAGGAGGAGGAGGAGGGAACCCTGGGGTTCCTAATTCAGCCTCCCTGCAGACCCCAGACGGGATGCTTGCTTTAGGAGGGGATTGATACTAATAAAGGGTGAATCGTTCATGGGGTTTCTTTCCCTGCTTCCAGTCTTCAGGATGCAGCCGATGTGGGCTGGTGTGACAAGCCAGCCCCAGCAGTGGGAGGAAATTCAAAGGAACGAGCTGGCGTGCGGGGTTTCCCTGGGGAAATCTTGTGCTGGGAGTGGGCAAGCATCTCCCTGGAGGTGTTTTCTGCTCTCCCAGGAGGAGCCGAAGCAGCCTGGCTTGGGATGCTGTGCTCCGAGGCTCTGCCCAGGCACGGGAAGCCCGCATGTGCTGTGTCCCCGCAGGAGCAGAGTGCCAGGCTGTGTGCGAGGCTGACGATGCTGCGATGGGGGGGGGATGCAGCGGCGCTGAGCTGAAAGCAGCGAGTGCCGCTTAGCGCCGCCGGGCTGAACCGCACCGGGGGCTCCGCGGGAGCTGCAGCCTCCCCTGGGCACGGGAGGGGACCTGGCCAGCCCAAATCCTGCTCCCCGGGGAGCCTGGCACCCGCACGAGCGGCCAAGGCTGGTGTCGGGTGTTTGGCGTGGAGAAAATCGCGGATGCTGCAGGATGCTGCTATAGGGAGATGCTGAGATGGGGCTGCCCGCGCTCAGCAAGGGAAGGGGCAGGGGATACCAGAAACATCTGGAAGTGCCCGTGGAGGGTTCAGAGAGGAGGGAGCCAGACTCTCCTCAGTGATGTCCAGTGACAGGAGACACGAATTGAAACATGGAAAATTCCATTAAATCACACGAAGGAAATTCACTGCGAGAGGGGTGAAGTACAGCAACAGGTTGTCCACTGTGGCATCTCCATCCTTGGAGACATTCAAACCCATCTCCATCCTTGGAGACATTCAAACCCAAGCGGACACGGTGCTGGGAAATTTAACCCTGCTTGAGCCATGCTGTGATTCTGTGACTGTCATGTCTTGTGATTGAACAGAAAAAGCTCCAGCAATATCATTGTGTCTGAAGTGGGTAACTCCTTACCATGCAAAATAAGACAGTAGTTTTCTACTTAATAAAATATATTGCCTTTCCTAGAGCCCCAGTGCCAATGAACAGTGATTTTTCAGCTGATTGGGCCGCTTGTGTGAGAGGTGACAAAATTTAAGTCAGTTTTCTCACTCAGAGAGGTTTTTCCACCCGGGAAGCCCATTGCCAGCAGGTGGCAACCACGCTAAAGCAAAATTCCTGGAGAAGGTTTGCCTGGAAGAATGTGTTCTCCTTCATTGCTCTACCACAGTTAGCACCTTTAATATGGGGAAGGCAACAGAGTGATCTTGTATCCACACATCTGTTTTTAGTTTCCTATAAATGAAATTGCCATCCCGAGGAATTGAGGGTTGTCAGTTTTGATGTTGGGGTGCTCAGGGCACTGAATTGCCCCAAGCAGTCTCACCTGGGGTCTCCACCCACTGCTCTGAGAGCCCATTTAAGCTGAGAACTGCAGCCTCCTTTCCTTTTGTGCTCCCTGTCCTGCACTTTCCTGGGGGAATTTGGCCAGGTAAGAGCCGAGCTTGGTGCCTGGGGTCGGGGGAAAGCTTGAAAGAAATATTTTAGCTAAGACAGCCTTCCTAAAATCAGTAACATACAAACTTCACAGGGCTGAAGGGTGTGAGAATGAGTTTCCCAAGCTTTCCATATGGAGTGTCTGATCTCCAGACTCTCCCAGTCAAGTCCTGGTTTTGTTCAAGTATTTTGACTATTTGTCTGGGAAAGAAGAAACTTTATATCTGCAGTGCTCGCTAGAGTTTTTCTTATGGCTTACAAAACACCTTAATTTTGTTACAAACCTACCATGTTTTATTTTATAATAGGCAAAATGCAATATATATAGCAAAGATATGGCACAAGTAGCATAAATTTTCTCTTGTGAAAGAAGGACCAGTCTCTTTATTCCCCCACGAGGTTTATTTCATTACTCACTCTTAAATATGTATTTGACACTTAACAGGAACAACTAGTTCAAAATGATTTCTAACACAAGTTCTCACAGTTGTTATAGTATTTGTATGGTGTGCTGTTTAGCACTATTTTTGAGACTCACATCTTCCTTTTGGTCTAAATTTAACAAGTCAGAAAAGAGAAAATTTGTGGTGGGGTGGAAGATGGATGATCCTTCAAAATGAAAAGGAAGCCATAACACACAGGAACATATGTGAACATTGAAAATAGTTTCTTTTCTCTTCCAAATACTCATCCTCTGTTTTACTGATGTTTCATTGAAAGTGCTCATTAGCTCTGCTCCATTAAACAATCCTCCCTAATAACTCAGTGATAAAGAACTGAGCTTTGCACTCCTCTGGAAATTGGTCTCCAGCCTGTCTGTGCTGTACAGCAGATGGCAATAAAGGACCACTCTGTGGCAGAAGTACACCCCTGAAAAGGAGATGTTCTGTCCTTAATAATTCAGAGGGTGAAATTCAAAATCAGGGTCTAGAAATGCAACTCTGAGAAGCTGATAGGAGCAAAGAGGGGAAATACAAGAGTTGCAAGTGGGCAGGACAAACCCTGCTGCTGCTGAGGGTTACAAACAGACCACACGTTACATGTAAACCAAACAAAGGACATTGTGCATTCATTGGCCACTCCTCCAGTCTGCAAAGTTTCTCCTGAAAAACCCTGGAAGGGCAGGGACCTGCCAGCCCCAACCCCCTGTTCAAGAAGTTCTGCATTCCAGCAACTTCCGGAAACTTTTCCGAAAACTGTCGTCCAGGAAAGCGTACAAGAAAGGATTCAAGCACGAATTGGCATAGCTTAGGCTGGTGATGAAGTAGGATATCCCAATGACCATGGAGGTCTGGGGTAAGTCAGTGGTCAAAGCCACGATGGTGGCCAGGTGGAAGGGGGTCCAACAGAAGAGGAACACAGCCAGGACTATGAAGACCATAATGGTGACTTTCTTCTTGGCTTTGTCCAGGGCTCTGGCGTTGGAGTTCAAGTGCATGTTCCTCAGCTTGTAGAGCATCATGGTGTAGAGGATGCAGATGGTGGATACTGGAATGGCAAAGCCAAGGATGAGGGTGTAGATCCTGCTGGCTTTGAACCAAAACCTCTCAGGCTTGGGGAAATTGAGACCACAGCTCTTGATCTCCAGGTCGTCGGTGTAGACATTGGCAAAGATGATGAAAGGGAGGACTATGATGGTGACCAGGATCCAGATGCACAGGCTGACAATCCTGGCCGCTCGGTACGTGCGGTGGGGCATCCTCTTGGACCTGACCGTAGCCAGTACCACCAGGTACCTGTCTATGCTCATCACTGTCAGGAAATAAATGCTGGAGAAGATATTGTAGTGGTCTATGGACAAGATGACCTTGCAGAGGATTTCTCCGAAGGGCCAGTAGCGGAGGAGGTGCTCTGCAATATTGATGGGCAGGACAAGGGTGAACAAGTCATCAGCGATAGCGAGGTTCAGGATGAACATGTTGGTCACAGTCTTCATCTTGGGGGCCTTGAGGATCACATAGATGACAGCAGTGTTGCCTGTGAGCCCCACAGCACAGATCACAGAGTAGATCACAGGCAGGACAACGTAAAAATCAGCTGCCTGCTCTTGGAGGGTGAAGTTGAACCTCATGCTGTTTTCCAGGTAGCAGCTGTTGCCTGCATTGCTGCAGGAGCTGTTCAGATCGTCCCAAAAGGAGATGTTTCCCATGCCTATTGATCACAGACCACCCTCAGATACCACTGAAAGCCTTGCTAGCCCAGAAGTGAGAGGTTTTTTGTTTGGTTGGGATATTTTCCCCCTCCTGCGAGAAGCAGCTGTTACCTCATTTAGATGCAGCTTATTTTCAAAGGTGAGTTGTGAGGCTTCATGCACCACCTAACTTACCTCTCCCCCCTGTTGGAGAAGTTGGATTTTGAAGTGATGATGGGAGAAAAAAATGTTTGGAAGACATAAGGCTCCATGAACCAAGAAAACAAGAGAATAATGACTTTCTAAATAAATCAAGGAACTCTTCTTTCCGAGAGCATTCCGGTGAGCTTTGGCTTTTCTTTGCTGGGGGAGTTGAGCGGCTCCCGTTCAGCTGTCTACAGTGAGAGTTCTTCTAGGGCTGACAGGAACAAGGAGGCAGAGGGGGGAATTTCGTGCCTGGCTGGCTGTTCACAGCCCTTGGAAGACCGGAGGGATGGCTGCTGTTTCTCTGGCACAGCTCTTGCTTTCTGTGCCGGAGCAGAAGCGTTCCAGTGGTTAATTAGCGCCTGCCTTTGTGTCGGAGTTCAGGCTCTTCATGGACTGGGATTTCACAAACAATGAAGAAGTTTCTGACACTGCTACTGCCCACTCCCAGGGTCCCCTAGCAAAAGAAGGAGGGGGAAAAATAATTCAGGGAGTATTTCTGAAATTAACGGTTAAAGGGGATTACCCTGCAATCAAAGTACACCTTTAAGCAAGGGTGGGTTATGAACTTACTCACTCTGAAAACCACCCCCAGTACAAACAACTGGCAGCACCCCAAATTTGGCACAGGCGGACAGACAAACCTGTGAATCTCAGAAGTTGAGGATTAATCAGGGAAGAGGGAGAAAAGTACCCTGAAAGCAAATCCACTTTAGAGACACAGCAGGAATCATCCCACCTGTAGCAGTTACCACATCCATCACTACTGCCTGACCCATGCTTCCAAGAATTCCTCCACAGAGAATGAACAAACAACGGACCCCTACCCCCCCACAGTGAAGATCAAAGGTTTGGCAGCCGGTCCCAGGCTCTGCGAAGAGAAGTGCCTCACTTCTCCTGCCTTTTGTTGTGGCACAGCAATAGAGTGAGCGGGACTGCCGGCGATGGGGAGTGAAGTGTCCCTTACCTGGGAAGCGGCTCCTCTGCCTCCTCCAGCACCTGCTGCTCTCACTGCTGAGCCTCTTCCCTCTGATCCGAGCTGGAGGAGGGTCTCTGGGCTGCTGACGTACCGGGATTTGCAATCAGATCAACACGATGCTTCAGTGTGTGCGTGTTGTGTGTCTGACCAATTAGCACTTGCTCAGATCAGGGAAGGGGGAAACAAGGGTTTTCTCTCTGCAGGGTTATTGAAATAGTAAATACAGTGGATGTTTCCTTCAGGAATGAGGGAGATGCTGAGGGACACAGGCAGCACCCAGGACTGGCTGAGTGAGGGATGCATGAAACAGTGGGAAGCAGGGGATTAAACTGCTTCAATAGGGAACAGTGGCTGGTTTGAACAAAGGGAGCAGGAGGAGGGTGAGCTACATTACAACGTGCAAAATAAACAGACGTACCTTGCCAGATCTGTGCCGTTTTCAGCTGCTCTGGGGGAATTTGGCTGAGTTTCTCCAGCTGGGTCTCTGATCCGGCTCTGGAAATTCAGTGAAATCCTTCAGATGTGCTCAGGAGGTGCAGGAGTCCCGTGAAGTTTGTCAGAAATGCACCCCAGGTTATAGAGCAACGACGTAAGATCACTTTACCAGCATGTCCCTAAAGGAGAAAAAGAAAAAGGAAATCAAGAGTCTTTTCATTCTCCTTTAGTCTTTTAAATATTGCCTGATCTCTGTTTCGAGACAAGGCAAAGGAAAACACAGGAATCCATCACTGCCATGCCTGGCTGAGTGCATTTAACCAGGAGGGCCAGCTCATAGATCTGAGCCAGTAACCAAGAAGTGTGTTTGACTTTGCTCCTCTTCTTTGGATGTTTTTATATTCTTCTGGCAAGATTATTGTGCACCAGTAGCTGGGTGGGAGTAAAACATTTCATTGCACTTCTTAAGGCTGTGGCTATAACTGACTTTTCAGCAGATGGGATTTTTTTTTTATGCCCAATGTACAACTCTTCAAGATACTTTCTGTACCTTGGCCAAAATCTAACCAGACATTGGGCTTAAGGAAAATGAAACAGGAATTGTATTGTCCAATTATATTGCATAGGAATGATATGGATGATACTTCTTCAGATGAAACAACCCTGGAGCTTTCTTCTTGCCTGTTTTGGGAAAGCTGGTGTGGTTTATAAGGAGTTGTAAATGAAGCAAGGCTTTGGTAGGTCTGCAGGGGGAATGCAGTTTCCAGGAATTGCTATTGTCTGTTTTCGTAGAAGAACATACAGGAAGGCAGAAAAATTCAGAAGAATGTGATGTTACATTTGCTGATCTGTAACTATTCCCTGGGACAAAAGGGTTTTAAAGTATTTTTCATCCACAATTCTTTGAGGCTTTCTGTTTTTCAGCATAAAGTGTATCTCTGGTCTCTGGGATAGTTTAAAAGCTGTTCTTTCTCTTCCCAAACTATATTATCTTGGCATTGGCATCATGCTGCCATGGCCAGGGGTCGTGTGCCTGGGTGCTGTGTGTTTGAGGGGCTGGGAGCTGAGGGGGCTGCAGGAGCTGTGGTGCTGATGCTGCTCCCTTGTGCTTTACCCTCTGCCTTGTGCCTTACTCCTCATTATCCACAGTGAACGTGCTCTCCGTGCCTTGGTTAGGATGTGCTTGATTAAAATAACCTGTCAGAGATGAGATGGAGACTAATTAAAGCTCACTGCCTGGTGTGGGTAGAGGGGCTTTTGCTTATATGCCCCAAACAAATTACTGGCACCTGCTTTCAGAGCTCCTTGCCTGGCTCTCCAATAAAACTTGTTTGCTTTGGGGAGGACAATGGCCAACAGATCTAAATTCATGTGGGAAATTGCTTTGCAGTAGGAGCTGTTCTACCAACAGAGAAAAATATTTCCTCTGTGTGTTTCTGGGCCCAGCCAGGGCCAGAGGCTGTGCACAGGGGAAACAGATCTATTTATATTGGTGTGATGGGGAGTGCTTGGAGAGAATCTTTTACTCTTCTTGTCATCTCTGACTGGGCATCCCTTGATTATAAACGTTACAGTGGCATAAAGCCCTGGAAATCAAGCACTGGTTTGAAGATGCTGCTACAAGGGGCACGAGCTGCTTGGACCTACTTTTGTGCCAACAGCTCCATCATCAGCACAGTGCAGCAGGGACAAAGATTTTATTGCTGGCAAATCCATGCCATGGAGATGGACTTTGCCTCTTGAAGCCCATGTTCACACTGTGCAGCTTGGGTCAGCTGTGCAAACAAAAGGCAGTGGTTTAGGGAGGGGGAAATCCCTGCCAATGCTAAATCAGTGGTGCTTTATTGCTTCCCTAAAGCTGATGTGCTGCTGTCTCCAGACAAAGGCCATCCACCATTTTGGAGTTATGGAGAACCTGTTTTGTTGGGCTCCTGCTGCTGTCAAGGAGTCAAGTTCATCTCAAGGACACAGATCTACAATCAATAATCTGTTTACCAAAACAAAATGTTCTCGGCTGGCTGTCTTGCAGTCACTGGTTATTAAGGTGATTTATTTGTATGAAGCGTTCAGGCTTTTAAAAGCATTGCAGGTTAATAATAGAATCAGGGAGTAGTTTGGGTTGGAAGGGACCTTTAAAGGTCATCTAGTCCAACCCCCCTGCAATGAGCAAGGACATCATCAGCCAGATCAGATTGCTCAGAAATCAACCATCCCACCTGACCCTGAATGCTCCCAGGGATGGGGCATCTACCACCCCTCTGGGTAACCTGTGGTAGTGCCTCACCATCCTCATTGTAAAAGAACTTCTTTCTTATATCCAATTTAAATCCACCCTCCTTCTGTTTAAAGCCATTTTCCCTTGTCCTACCACAACAGGACCTCCTGTTCTGAGAGCTGTCCAGAACTGATCACATCAAATGGGCTGAAATTGCTTCTGGCAAGGTAAAGATGCCTGGTCAGGCTATTTTCAGGATAACACTCACCCACAAAGCTGGGAGGTCCTTCTGCTTCCCCCCAAAACCTTCCCACCCTTATTGAAGCAGGCTGGCTTAGGCAGGTGATGGTGCTCACCTCGTAGGACACCTCAGGGAACCAGGTGAGGGCTGCAGGTGGGGAGGGGTGACTGCAGGGCAAATGTCCCCATCGGCAAACTGGGGAACTGTGGGCAAAGAAAGTGCTTTTGAATGGTGATAATTGTCACAGATCCAGGGGCTGGTGACACATCCTGCCCACGAGAAAGCTGCAGCGAAGGCAAAGGGCTTCAGGAAGCGATTTAAGGAAAATGGGAGTCCATAAAGGGCCTGTTTTTGTCAGGGAAAGCACATATCAATAACTGCCCCGTCTGGCTCTGCAGGGGAGCAATCCACACAAACCGTGCAGCAATTTCCTCAGAGCAGCTGTGATGGGGAATAAAAGCTGTAGCCCTGGGAGCTGGTGGGTGGCTGGCTGAAGCTGTTTGCTCCCTGCCAGCCAGGAAAGAGGTTGGGAGGCTCCTACAGTGGGTTAGCCCTCATTCCCAGCACTTCTTGGAGACCCTGGCTCTTGTACCACACCTTCCCCAGCCCCGTGGTGCTGCCTGGGGCCACCCAGAGGTGCCACCAGCCGTGGAGGGCAAGTGGCATTGCAAGAGGCTGCCAGGCTGCCAGCAGGAGCTGTGCTGGCAGATGTGTTAATGAAGGGAGCTCTGGCAGAGCACTGGTGACAGTGGGAGCAAGGACACGGTGCCAGTCTTGCTGCAATTAATACAGAACTGTGAGAATTTGAGTGCAGAGGGAATGCTGCTTTAAACACTCTCATTTCTTCTCCCACTCCCCGCTGGTCTGGCTTTGAGCAGCCTTGCTCCAGAGAGAAATTAAAATCTGCTTCCATTCCAGGATGCTTTTATTCTCCAGCATTTATTCCTGCTTTTCTCCAGGGCTGGAAGTGAGTGTGTACTTTG